TTCCTAATCCATCCCATAGTGTTCACCTCATCCTTTGATCATCCTGGATGTTGCTGTGCCACACACTCTCCAACGATGGACAGTTGATTTCAGAATCACACTGTTCTCCTAAACCAGCACTCAAAACATGCACTGGTAAAGGAAGTAGCTAACTTTAAAAATAGACCTTGGCTGTCCAGGATCCTCACCACTGTTACCCTGGCACTGGCACAGCACTGAGAGTGGCCAAGGCAGAAGGTGTAGTACTTCATGGCAGCTAAGAAGTGTGTAAGCAAGGTGGTCCTGCTGACCATCCCACCAAAGCACTGCTGTATCATGGCCACATCTTGCCATGTAGCTCAGTGCATCAGATATATGTCCCAGCACAAATCCCCACTGCTTCATGGGAACACAGGAAAAACATCTTCAGAAAGTTTGAGAATTACTGCTCTGGCCTAAAAAAATACTTTTTTTCAATTCTCAAGGGTCATGTTGTCTAGACCTCCAGCCTTTCCTTTTGCTTTTCTCTGGATGTTTCCAACAGGCCTGAAGAGCACTGCTCAGGGTAGAAACATTACACCAGCCACACAAATGCCAAGTGGAGTGGAAAAATTATTTTGCATGTCTTACATGCAAACTCTTGTCCATATATTCTCGCATAACATTTATGGCATAGTATTGTTGATTCATAGCCATTTTCTGAACTCTTGCAACTGCCCATCTGTTTTCTGCAAACCTGCTGCCTTACCAGTTATTCTACATTTTGATTTGCACAGCTGATTATTCCTGCCCAACCACAATTTAGAATTTGTCCTTGATGAACTGCATCATATTTATTTTAGATCAGTTCTCCAATACACCACATTAATTTTGAATTCTAATTCTGTGCTCAAAGGGTTTATATCCTTTCCCTGGTTGGTGTCATCTGGAAATTTTGCATGCAGATTCTATCATCTAAGTCATTAATTAAAATATTGAATGTTTTCAGGCAATCCAGGGCAGAATCCCACTTGACATATCCTTCTAGTCTGACTATGAATCACTAGTAATTATTTTGAGAACAGCTTTCCAGACAACTGTGTATCCACCTTGTAGCCCATATTGCCACCTTGGTTTATGAAAGGGTGAAAAGCCTTCCAAAAATCAAGATATGCTATTTCTCTACTTACAGGGAAATTCAGCTCCACTGACAAGGTACCTTCTGGAAAAAAAAAACCATGCAAACTTATTTATCATCTTATTATCTACAGGCTATTTATTAAAAAAAAATCAGTTGATTATTTGATTCAAACTTTTTTCTCAATAATTTAAGGTAAGCTATACACTCCAAGGGGGAAAAAGAAGGACCCGGGACAGTTTACTTATAGATGAAGTGTTTGCTCTTTCACAGCTCTTTTGAACCTACGCTGTTCTCCAGTGTAACCACTAATTGCTCAGACATTGCGTTGGCTATTTCACTTTATGTTGGAGAGATAATTTAATAAGCTCCAGCTTGTTCTAAAATACCTATTATCCTATCTCATTAGTTTATAATCAGTTCTGTCCTGCTCTAGTTGGAATTCTTATCTTTCTCAAGGTAGTCATCCTTCTCTTGCCATACGATTACAAGTCACCCTTTCTGGCAAAAAAAAAAAAATAAATGCCAGCAACTACTTGGTCCTCTCTGCAGTATCAGATCATGAAGTTTTGTCATGCCCTCTCAACTAGTAGTCCAGAAACTGAGTCTTCCTCTTATTACTACTGAGAACGTAGCATGTTTCCTTCTCACCGTGTCCTTCATTAGTTGTGCTTTGTTTTGTGCCTTGGCCTACCTGATTTGGCTCCTGCATTCTTCTAATTCTTCTAATTGTTCTTTTACACTCATCTCCAGTAATAGTTTCCACCTTCTGTATAAGTCTTCAATTTTCAGATCATGCAATTTTGTATCTTCTTCCACTTTTTTATTAGGACACCTTTTATTTGTGCTTTTAATATTTTTTATTGTGACTGGAAAATAAAATGTTACATCCTTTAGAAATTGCCAGCCTTCCTGAATTTCTTAATTTGTTTTTCAAGAAATGTTACCTATCAGTTCTCTGAGCTGAATGCAGTCTACTTTCTTGCATACTATTGCTTTTATTCTCAAGTTCTCTCTTGTCTTCTAAAGAATGATAAGCTCGCTCTTTCATGATTGCTATCACTCAAATTGCCTTTTACCATCATAGGCTCAGCCATCTCTTTCCTAATCAAGGCTAAGAGCACTTTCCTTCCATTGCCTTTTCTACATTCGGTAATCCTGAACCTTTTATACTTGTATGATCTACTGAAATTAGTATTTAGCCAGTAAAGTGAAAAAGTTCTAACCATAAGCTACTGTTTGGTGATATATAATAAAGTGACTGGACAAGCCCATCTCTTGGAACAAAAGCTATCTGTGAAAAAGGGCAACTTCGGCATCTGTGCCAGTAAAATGAGTGCGCAGACAGGATCAAAATATCTCGTAGCTTTAACTGTAAGCTTTTCCAGGTCACAGTGATTAGCAAGGTGGAAAGGAGGTTTATGAAATACTCTGAAGGTGGCTACCCAGAGGCATTGTCCTCCCCGGCTTCTTTTGCCAACACTCTATTCAGTTGTAAATTGAAATGGTTACTCTGATTGTTGCAATAGCTGCAATCACTTAGCATGGCTACATTCAGTGTTGACACTGCACAGGTTTCAGATATCAAAGCTTTTTCTGTACAAATTAGCTCCTTTCTGAATGTGGTCATGCCCCCTCTGCCGCTAGCAGCTACTGTTTTCTCCTACAGCTAAACTGGCATTCCAATAAAACAAAAGGAGCAATATAGTAAGGATCAGAGGAGCAAACATGTGCACCTGCCATTACACTTTTACTGCGTAACTGTGTTGTTGCATAACAGAGTCCAATTAATTTCTCTAAGAAATATATACCTACTCCCTGTTTATTGCCGAATGTGTTATATAAATCTATCAAGGAACAAGAAAGATCTCCAAAAAGCAAATACAGGTATTATTTTGATACAAGTTGGAAGAAACAGAAATCCTTGCCTTCTCCTCAAATAAAGCAATGATATTTCAACCTGTTTCCTTTACAAGTCTCCTGTTCACAAGTCTCCTAAATGTATGTTGCAACTTAACTCAATGTTTAATAATTCTTTAGTTACAATTACCAAGATTTGAAAATGTTTATTAACATCTTTACCTGAGAGGAACTTCAAAAGAATGTAAGAATTCCCTACAAGTGACCAAGCAACCTTCATGCTGTTAAGGTCTCCAGGATAGGTCTGGGTTGTCACCACAGTCTGACTTGTCCTGGGCCTCCAGGGACCCCAGTTTCATCCCCCTGAATTTTATGCAGCACTATTTGCCAGGTCTCTTCTACCCAGCAGTAGTCATAAGGTTACCAGCTTTCCAACACCCTGCTGCGCAAGCACCCTGATCACAGTGCCAACAACCCCTGCCTTCTGGGAGCTAAAGGATAGCAGATGCTGTGGCAAGAGTGTAAAGGTGGAAAGAAAATAGTACAGTATTGCAAGGGTGATAAAGGTAATAAGGTTTTCAACAAAGGAGAGAGCCACAGAAGGCAGGGCAGGTAAGGAAGAGAACAGATATCCACACACAGTAGGAATTCTGGTGGAGAGAAAGGAGTGGCAAAAACTTCCAGGAATGAGCTGAGGGTTGGCAGAGAGCAGCCAGGAGGAAAATGCACAGATGGGACAAGAACAGCAGTGGGGAGCTGTAGGAGTGTGCTGCTGGCCAGGCAGAGGTGGGAGGGCCCTGTGATGGTCCCAGACTTCACATGTCCCAGCAGTGCCGGAGCACATGTGGAGCAGAGCTTCCCTTTTCCTCTCCTTCAAGACACGTCTCGCTGACACGCACGGAAACTGTGTTGTAAATCAAAGCAACATGAGGCAATGGAGACGGTTCAGAACTACACTGACACTCCAAACCGATATGCTGGTGCAGACAGATGGACACAGAGCTGCCAGAAGGGAGGGACCAGCCTCTGCGAGTGGATCTGCTTTGGGAAGGGACAAAGTGGGGGCCTGCCCACAGTAAAATGAACGGTTTTAAAGCAGCTCAAGACAGAAAATTATCTTCCCATATGTACAACCCCCAATCCAGTAAACTTCTAAAGGCAAAAATTTCAAATTGGAAAAATAAACGTCTCACACATCACTAACTTTCACTGTGGTACAAATCTATTATGTAGACCTACTAAAGCAAGAGCAATATACAGTTGATTTTCTAATCATTTCTTACAGGATCTCAGCTGGCCAGCAGATGTGGAAACAAAGCAGCAGGATCTTCTGATCCTGATTTCTTTCTCCCACCTCTCAAATCAGAAACCAGCCCAGACAGGGAAAGCCTGAATGAACTCCAGCAGACTTTACACTAGAGGGAGCTTTCCTCAGAGAGACACACCACCTTAGTATCTCCTTTCTCATTACATTATTTTCAGCGTATCTGCAAGGAAATACATTGGACTGAGGTGAAACAGTTACAGTTTAAATCCTCTGTTTTTGACAGTTCAAGCACTGCAGCACATGTGGGGTGGCAGGCAGTACAACTAGAAGGTACCTGACAAGTTCTGCCCAGAGATGTGCTCTGGCCCATGAGATCAAGCTTTACACTGCCATGTTTCTGAGAAACCTCCTGATACGAACTGTGTCCATCCCGCACCCTCACCAAACTCCGATGTTGAACTTAAGAACAACGTAACAGACTACATTCTATATTGAGCCAGGAGGCCACTTGTTAAGATGCTAATTACTTTAATGAGGAAAGCTGAGATACACCTTCCCTAAGGCTTCTGGCCATCCGTTTTAGAGGCCTTGAAATACAGGTAACTGTGTTACTCACTGTTAATACAAGTAACAAACTTGAGGAACACCTCAAGTGAACTGTTTTAAAATATTATTTAAACTGGAAATACTACAAGGTGCTAATGACAGTCAGGACCTATTCAATTTATTTTCAAAACTCCAGTAAACCGTCCCAAAACTATGAGCTGAAGTCCTTACCTGTGAAAGCATTTGTGGCCTGAAAACCAGCTTCCTGCATACTGCTCTCCCAGCGAAGCTTGAGATTCCCGCTTAACCTGTCCTTACTGGAGACAACTGCTGAGCTTGGAGCTGTCAAGTCACTTCCATCTTAGCTCGTCAGAGTCCATTTCTCTTTCCATTCCCGTATTAGGCACCATCCAGTTCCTACCTGATCCCAGGTCTTTTGATCCGTAGGCAGAGAGGATCTGCACTGAATCCCAACGGGAAGCGTTGGACAGTCCCATCAACCAGCCAGCCAGAGGATTTGGGCCATGATGAATGTGGAAATTAAGCAAATCGCCTGCCAAGACTTTATTTCCCTTTTAAAATTAAGTTCTAATACTCTGTTCATCCAGCACCATTTTTTCAGGTCTTGGCCAATGGTGATGTTCAACTGTCCTCTCTTGTGTTGCTCTCCCCTCAGGCACGCTCACTGAGAAATTAAAAAAGAAGAGATTATGTTTCCTGATGACCTGTAGCAACATTAAAATTAACAGACTCCAGGGAACAAAAACCCAAAACATATTATCAGGGATTGATTGTACACATTAAAGGAGATCTTCAGAAGGCAAATATTGCGATTTTGCTGAGATGCAAAGTGTGACCACACAGCTCTTTGAAGTGCAAAGAGGAACAGTGCTGAGGGTGTCATATGCATCTCTGAGAACATGATATGATTTACATTTCAAAAGCCATATTTAGCAGAGATGGGGGCAGCAATACAATAACAAAATTGCAGTTAAAAGGGAAAGGGAAAAATACTCAAGGCTCTCAAGTCTAGCCTATTCAAAACCACAGTGAGATTATTAGCATTTCATATAGCTGCTTCCCTCCTTTTCTGGAGCACAAAAAGAGAGCACTGTCTGCTGACACTATATATGTCATTCTAACAGTCTTCTGAGGTTAAAATCCTTTGTATGTCTGTGCTGTCGATTATCTGTTTAAAATCTCAATTGTAACACAGATGATGTAACTCAGATGCCTCCAGACATTCGGTAACATTAAACATACCCACAGGCTATACAAGAGAAAGGTGATTAAGGTTTTCTTGATCCTACTATTCCTACATAGCATGGGTATCTGCAACTCACTGAAAACTAGAGATGCTGGACATCCAATTTTTGAAAAACTAGCATATGTTTACTTTTATGGGGTGAAGGCGAACAGTAGACAGGTACACGTTTAGGGAGAAGATTATTTAAGGAAAAAAGGAAGAAACAAAAGAGGACTTGCAAGGAGAAACCGCTCAATCCCCAGCCACCCTGTTCCTTCACGCAATAATGCTTGGCTCGCTATCTCCCAATTCAGTGTCACAGGCAAGTTGAAACTACATCTATGATGATTTTAGGCTCTACTAATGGACTTTAGCAAATTAGTCTAGCCAGGGCTTGCAGTGCTGGATAGGACCTGAGGTCCATCTACTGGAGCAGCCCATATCAGAGGGTGCCAGTGTCACTGTCACTCCCACTGCTTCAGAGAACAGTGCGAGAGCAGGCATGAATAACCCACCACTCGCTCCCCAGCTCCACTTCACCCTGACCTGCAAGACCTAGAGACTAGCTTATACCCTGAAGTGTGAGGCTGAACAGCCCACATGGTCCAAAACCACAGGGAAGATCCTCATGCTCCTTCCTTGGGCATCTGCTGCTCTGCAGACATCTCAGAGTGTACAGCCAGTTGGCTCTCAAGGGCTTCATTAGGGCCCTTTAATGGGGGACAAAAAGTTCTCTTCTCAGATGTGTCACTGCAGCCAAGTGAGCCTGACACCTGATGAATGCCGTTTTCTTCAAAATGAAAGCTAGCTGCTATCAAAGACAAATTTTCTATCTTAATGATGTTGCTGCTTTTTTCCACCAGTTGTTATGCCAGTATTACTGAAGAACACCCATTTTTGTCTCAAAACATAGCACAGGAGTGACAGATTAGGTACTTGTAGTCAAATCTAGTAATTTGCATTCAAATCAAATAAGGTTACTAAACAGATTTAAGATGTTTTCCCCATTGCTTACCCAAACATCTCAACTTCATAGAGGAGAAAGCAGAAATAAAGGAAAAAAAAAAAATCCTAAACCCAATGTCTTTACATGTAGCATCTTCTATCAGAAAAAGATGCATTAAAAAATTTAGAATAGTGTTTAAAATGCTATTAATCCTGAATGTCAGCTTCTCAGGATGCTTTTTCAGCCGTTCAAAGTGCTCTAGACAACTAATAACCGCTTCATATGAGGTTATTTTATTCTAAAATATATACAACTGAGCAAGTATAATATACATACAGCACAGCACATATTTCTTTTGGCTCTTAACGTTGTGCTAACTATTCTATAATGACTACAGATGGATGCTGCACTCATTTCCCAAGCTTTTTCTCTAGAGGCCTGAGTTTCTTCTATATTTATAAGAGCAGGTCCATATTTGCATTCACATTTTCAGCCTTGTAACTTCTGATTTTGGTTTATAAATCCAGAATTCTGATGCCTTCTATTTTAAGCATTTTAATTTCTCTCCCCATCACAGAGATGCTCAAGAGATGTGCACCAATACCTTAGCATCCAGAGAAATTCTCTTATTGCTACATCTTTGTATTAGACATAATAATCTTCTGCTTCTTAAAAGAGTAAAATAATTTTACTTTCTTGAAAATTAACTCTTTAGTGAAAGAAGAATAATTTTCTGCATCTTCAACATTTCTGCTAAAATAGTTAAGAACCCAACAGTGCTGAAGAAACTGCGATGAAGGCACTTTCAGCATCCAGGGCTACTTCAGATAGAAAGAAGTAATTTTAACAACACTACAGGACACAAACACTTACAGAGTTCATTCAGACCTTAAAATTTAAAAGGTAGTGCACCGTGTCAGGTTTAAGGACTCAAGTGAAAGAAGATACCAGTATCTCTTGATTGCCCTAAGTGAGCTTTTTCTATCACTGCAAAAGCACTCTTCCCCCTTGGCAGATAATGAACTTGGAGGTGGCTGGCAGGACGCAAGTAAGGAAATGGAGCAGGCTGCTGGGGCAAGTCTCTGCGGTGCTCAGCACTTGCTGGGCCTCTTCACAACTCAGAACCAAGTTCAGTACTTATAAAATGTTTTACACTTATGGCTAAGCAGGATTGTGTGTATTTTCAACAGGCAGACCTTTCATGTGTCACATCTGCACAACAATTTCAGGTCCCTAAGATTTCAAATGCATCCAGGTGAAGACGACAAAGCAGCCCAGCTGATACCACAGCAAATCAGGAAAATGGAAACTGCAGTTTTAACGCATGTAAAGCTATGATGTTTCTATTGTACTTTACATTATCCAGAAATTTTCCATTAAGGCTGAACTGATGTTTAAAGAGAGGAGGTTTGCATTTGTTGCCTAACAGACTGGCATGTTTGCATACACAGAATGGGTCAGGACCTCTGCTGACAGAGGCTCAGCCAACTCCAGTGAAGCTATGTGTTTATCGTTTTATACCAGTGTGGTGCAGAAATGTTAAAACCAACCTGCTTAAAGGATTGAAAAGTGAAAGTAAGTATCTGAAAAAAAGAGTGGAAAGTAAACAATACTGACAGAACTACAGTAAGGTGTGATCTCTGATTTAACTATTATATTTTTCACAATATGCAGAGACCCCAGTGGGAACACGTCCCATTATACTGATCAGATGGCAAAGAGAAAATGTAGACTAGAAAGACTAGAGATTTTCTCTTTGCTCCATCTGTTACCTCCTTTCCAATTGTAACAGGAACTCCGCTTCCACTTCTGCCTTCATTCATCCACTGCAGTGTTATATGAGTCTCAGAAGCAAACCAAAGCAAAACATTGTGTTTTATAAATATGTAGCTGTGCTATAAAGATTTTCAGCTACTATGTGCTTATGTGACTGAATACCTAGAGAAAAATCAAATCCATTTGTTTTCATCCTCTCCACTTTTCTCAGATTTGGTCCTGGGAAAGACACCACCATCTGAACCTCACACAAATTGCAAATAGAAAATATTTTGACTATTTAACACCTTACTGGAGTTACATGTTCTCATGGTATATTTAGCTAGTCAACCCGCTACTCATCTTCTCTAAACATTGGAAGATGCAGTATTAAAGGGCCACTGTAAAAAAAGAATCTGCGAGAGAACAGTAGCCAATGAATTGTCATTAAATCCTGCAATAGTATCTATATTTTATGGAGTGTTGTGCAATTATCAATTAGGACCAAGCCTGGAGGAACTTGCACTGAAAGAAGTAGTGAAATACTGCTTTTTCAAAGACTGGTATCTCTGTAACGTCTTGAAAACTCAAAAGCACTGGCTGACGTGTAAATGCTGCAGCTTGGGGGTTTTGTCAGGTTTTTTTTCCATTTCCTTTCACTATATACAGTCTGTTTTTCTGGTCACGTGCTGCTGGTTCCCACACAGGCATTAAGAACTCACTGCATGTGTTGTCAGAACCATGCCATAGGAAGCATTTCCTGTGATAGCCCTTGGCACAAGAAATCCTACAGGACAGTGTTTCTCTAAGGTGTTTAACAAATTGCATAACAGGAGTATCTGTAGAGTAAGCCCACACATTTACTTTTTTGAGAAAGTTGCTGAACAGCTTGTGAGCTGTGGTTTAATTTAACTTAATCAACAGAGGACTCACTGCTTGGATTTTTAGCTTTCAGGTGAAAGAGTGTAAGAGGGGAGAGGGCCCAAGCTAACCTGCCCTGCCCTCGGTGCAGTCCCTGCAGAACACAGGTGCCAAACATAGGCAGACCCCAGTGGGAGCTCAGCCGCTGCAGGTACCGACCCACTCTGTGGCTAAAAGGAGGACAGAAGCAATGCTGGCAAGCTGGCAGCATGACTCCAGCTCAATTGGAGATTTAAGCATGTCTCCAAATTCAAGGGATTAAGTATTCTGACGAAGCCAGGACAAGTACTGAACCATTCACATGCTTAAACACTTTGCTGAAGTAAGGCCTATACTTCCTATAGGTTAAGGCAGCATAGACTTGGATATATATTTAAGAAGTTTCTGGCTGGAAAAACACTTCCAACATTTTGTTTTTATAAAACGGTGTTTGTAAAAATATCCTTTAAAGTTTGCTAAAGCAACTTAAAATGAAGCATATGTGCACACATACACGTAACTCACCTCTCCACCCCCCTTTGGATTCATCAAATTTTCCAGGCTTTGGTTTTGCTTCTCACAGAGACTTCCAAACTAGATATACTAGTATCTACTGGTTATACCTACTCTTTTTTAGATGGTAAAGCCTGTGTTCCACTGTGTGATCCTCATGTATTTTATTTACTTCTATCTATAATTTGTCCTCCTTCCAAGATACCATTATTGCACCAGTGCTAAGTGAATCCTGGTTCTCAGGAAATACTATGCTCTGTAACTCAAAGACTGCTTAAAAAACTCAAGAAGACTTTCACAGGAGACCATACACAAATCAAAACTG